GGTGCTATGCCAACTTCACTGCTCACTCTCAGAACACAAGTAACTGTTACTGGTTTCTTTCTTTGTCAGTTCCAGCCTTGCCTCTGTGGGTGGCACTTGAGATGAATTGACTGACATTAGGCTCATTACAACGCAAAATAGAATGGTCTTGGACTGCATCTCAAGGTGGTGCTTGTGTTATTGTTAGTTCATCTTGTTGTACATTTATCCCTGTGAATGATGCTGATGGAGGAATGATACATCAGGCCTTACAAAACATGGCAGCCCTCAGACATTTTGTGATGGCTGACGGGCTCAGTGACACCAGCTTGGGACGCTGGACTTGGTTATCCTTTTGGAAGCACCTTTTTCTCACAGCTAGTATCTGTTTGCTGACCACAGTGATTCTTTTGTGCATTTTTACACATTTTTACATTGTGTGATTCCTCTTGTGAAAATGTTGATTGGTTCAATGCTTAATAATAACAATCCTCAATATACACAGATGCAATGTCAAGCCTATTCTTCTGAAAAAGCTAATGCATTTGCTACCTTACCTTTTCATACTGAGGAGCTAGTCTAATTCTGTTGTTTTACCTCCCATACGTTATTATAGTCTAGAGGTAATTCATAATTCTCTCACCAATGTCAACAGTGTCATGATAAACTCCTGTAAACCAAACATGAGGATGGTGTTTTGGTGTTCTCACTGTTGTTGCATATTCGTTATCATTAATGATAAAAAGGGAGGATATGGAGCAGAAAAGTTAAGGTCACACGTGCTGTCTGCTCAGTATGCTCAGTGTTCTTATTATCTATGTATTTGTACTGTCTAACCTTGTTTCCTTTTCCTCTGGACAGTTCTCCCAAAACAGTTCTCTCTCTCAAACACACAAATTTAGTCTCTACACACATACCCCTACACACACACACACACACACACACTTCATACACACACAGACCCAGTCTCTATTGACGCACATAGCCTGGTTTCCACAGAGCCCGACTGCCTATCTAGGAGATACCTATGAAGGCCACATACCTAAGACACATATCTGATTGGTTCCAGCTAGTGGGCGATAGTTGACTGATGTTGTACAAAATCTGGCTGTAAGCTCTCTCTCTTGTCACTCACTGACTCTTTGCACTGAGTGTGTGATCTCTTGATCAAGACACTGGTATTGTCTTATGCTATTGTCTGATTTGTTTAATAAATTACAGAAAGACTACCTGAGAACCTGCTTATTGATTTCCACAACAGCAGCGACATAGGCTGATTGTTGCATTGCCTTGTGTTGCCTTTGTCTGGGCCAAACGGGTTGAAAATGTCACCTGAACACACTGAACAGACTACAGCCAATAGCCAACTAGAACATATGTTCTGTGCCTGCCTGAGTGAAATAACTCCCTCTACCAGTAGTTGTCGATATCTGTATACACCATTCAGAAAGGGAAAGAAGCGCTAGACTGCGGCAAACAAAGCAGCTGTGGGTCATCACAGCTGCTGTTTATAGTTGTTTCTAAATGAAGAATATGTCTGATGAGAAGTTAAAAATGGCACTGGCAATCTCTGCCCTTGGTCTTTTGGTTGTAGAAGAGGAAAAAAGAGTGTGGCTACTACAGCAACAGGCTCAAAGGGATTTCCCGAACCATTCCGTTCTCATGCATTAATCTGCTTAGCTGAACAGCCAATCAGAGTGGTCTCTCTCGCTAACTATGTCTACTGCTGTTTCAGCATGCTGAATTGGTCGGAAAGCCGCCGAAAAGGTCCGACTAGTACTAACGACATGGGACACACGTGAAGACAAAGGTGACAGATGTTCACCGGCAGCCAAACAGTGGCCAATGGCTAGTCGTCGACTTTGTGTGACATGGGCCTAACACATACTGAATTAACTGAGGTACATTAGCCAAGGAAGCTAGTTAGTTAATGTTACATAAGTAATGTTATAATTATAAGTTAGAAATTATTTCAAATAATGTCCTGAGATCCGCCCTGAGTATTTCTAGGTGCAGCCAGGGGCCGGAGGGAGTCCGGTTTGGGGACCACAGGATCTCGTCTCTGCTTTTTGCAGACGACGTTGTCCTGTTGGCCCCATCAAACCAGGACCTCCAGCATGCACTGGGGCGGTTTGCAGCCGAGTGTGAAGCGGCTGGGGTGGGAATCAGCACCTCCAAATCCGAGGCCATGGTTCTCAGCCGGAAAAGGGTGGCTTGTTCCCTTCAGGTTGGTGGAGAGTTCCTGCCTCAAGTGGAGGAGTTCAAGTATCTTGGGGTCTTGTTCACGAGTGAGGGAAGGATGGAACGGGAGATTGACAGGCGGATCGGTGCAGCTTCTGCAGTAATGCGGTCGATGTACCGGTCCGTCGTGGTGAAGAAGGAGCTGAACTGTAAGGCAAAGCTCTCGATTTACTGGTCAATCTACGTTCCGACTCTCACCTATGGTCATGAGCCTTGGGTCATGACCGAAATGGTAAGATCCCGGATACAGGCGGCCGAAATGAGCTTTCTCCGCAGGGCGGCCGGGCGCACCCTTAGAGATAGGGTGAGGAGCTCGGTCACCCGGGAGGAGCTCAGAGTAGAACCGCTGCTCCTCCACATCGAGAGGAGCCAGCTGAGGTGGCTCGGGCAGCTCTTTCGGATGCCTCCTGGGCGCCTTCCTAGGGAGGTGTTCCGGGCATGTCCCACCGGGAGGAGGCCCCGGGGAAGACCCAGGACACGCTGGAGGGACTATGTCTCTCGGCTGGCCTGGGAACGCCTCAGCATTCCCCCGGAGGAGCTGGAGGAAGTGTCTGAAGAGAGGGATGTCTGGGCATCTTTGCTTAGACTGCTGCCCCCGCAATCCGGTCCCGGATAAGCGGAGGAAAATGGATGGACGGATAATGTCCTGGCCAGCTCACTATCATTGGCTATTGCGAGTATTTGGTCAGGATTCAATCGCTGTTGCCCCCACAATACAGAATTCCAAGCCTTAAATATGAAACATGCCTGATACTTATGATTCAAGTTAGGGGGCCCACCGATCCTGTTGGAGGCATAATAATTAGGTCGTTCAACACCTAAGGTGTTCACTACAGGATCATTTGGCCCAAGAATCACTTTTGAGTGGCCTCACATCCCGGAACGCATCCACGATTGTCACAGAGAGCAAACAGGGCCAAAAATTGGGTTAGTTATCTTGTAGTATGGGGCCAACGTACACTATATAAATTAAAAATCAACTCAGGAGGCAGTATTCATAAGAACATAATTAAAATTAAGACTATTCTTAGAGAACAAAAAAAAAACAGGACAATCAAACTATTAAATATCAGATCTCTTTTAGTGAATGATTTGATAAGTGCACATCAAATCACATACATGGCACAACTTGCAAATCCGCACCAAAGCAGGCTTGAAAAACTTGAAAGGAATGGGCGTTTCACTAATTCAGAAAAATTTTATATAGCCTGGAAAGATGATTTTATTTACATGCACATATAAAAAAAAATCTCCCCCACACACTTTGGGCGGTCCTGTATGCCTTCCTTCAAGCTCGGGTCCTCTCCCAGAGGCCTGGGAGCTTGAGGGTCCTGCGCAGTATCTTAGCTGTTCCTATGTTCCCAGCACTGCACTCTTCTGGACAGAGATCTCAGATGTTGTTCCTAAGATCTGTTGGAGCCACTCTCCCAGTTTGGGGGGTCACAGCCCCCAGTGTTCCTATTACCACGGGGACCACTTGTGCCTTCACCTTCCACATCTTTTCTAGCTCTTCTTTCAGCCCTTGGTATTTCTCAAGCTGCTCATGCTTGGCTATTCCAAGTATGCCCTGCCTGCTAGCATCTTGCACCCCGCTGTTATGTGCTGGATTGTCTCAGGGGCATCTTTGCACAGCCTGCACCTGGCATGTTGCTTTCTGGTAGTACAATCCCCTCAGTTCTGACTACCTTCCCTCTCCTTGTTACCTACCATTTGACCACACTTATCCAGTCTGAATGATATTCAGATGTCCTGGCTGTAGATCCTAGTGGTGTGGATCAGTGAGCCGATGTCTCGGTCACTCCTGGCATACAGCTTGATGTCATCCATGTAGAGCAGGTTGCTGATTGTTGGTCCATTCCGTAGTCTGTATCTGTAACCGCTCT